AGAGTAATTATAAAGGTAAGAATTTGAGTATTTCATTATTATACTTTTAAAAGTTCCATTATTTCAATTTAGAAATTAAATACATTCCACACGTTCATGAGGTGAACTACCTCAATTTTGACAAAAAATAAATATGGGACTTATCTAGAATTGTACAAGAAACTCAAAAATGACAAAAGAAATAGGGGTTGCCATTTAAAATTTTTGGGGTAGGTGCCCTTGGGGTTCTGGGGTTGAAAGTAATACAACAACAAATGCCTCAAAAGTTGTCCTTGATGTGTAAATTGACGTGTTTCGCCAAATTTTGATACTGCCATTAGTTTAGGCAATATTAAATGCTGTTCGTTTTCTAATTCAAGAGAAATATGGTAAATTCGAGTTTTATTCCCTATGAAAAGAGTAGATGTTTGAGTACACGCGCAATTTAAATAAATATTGAAGATACGGGGGGAGAATTGGAACCTTCGGCATAGAAATAAAATTTCGCACTGGAACACTTTTAACCACTTCACACCAAAACACTGTTTTACACTCAACACGCGTTTTGCCAACCGTGTTGGAATCATCAAGAGATGATTAAAACTGAATAATATCCGTTTTAATAATTTCCTGATTATATCAACATGGTTGACGAAACGTGCGTTGAGTGTAAAAAAAGTGTTTCGGTGTAACGTGATTAAAAGTGTTCAAGTGTGAAAAATTTCTATACGCTTCTCTTAAAAATGTCCATTTTGTCTGTTCGTTATAACAGTTCCAGGTTTTTCCGCGTGAATGTGTTCTCAAAATGAGTCAGGATCCAAATCTGTATTGCTGTTTTTTTGGGCTTTGAAATTTGAATCTTGAATAAAATTCAATTCTATTGGATATCTGCTTTCATGATTTATATCTTAATATAACTTTGCAGTAGATTTTTCGCTTATTTCTGTAATTTTTTTAATGTCCCTTATATACTTCTTTAGTATTTTTCTGTATACAGATACAATGTTTCCCAAATAGTCGGTATGAATCACATGGGAAAATTTTGATTTTGAATCTCAAGTTATCGTGTGCAATCGTATCCTTCCATTCCATTACGTCAAAAACAGCATTTAGTGTTTATTATTGCAAACTCACAGCTGTCATCTGTTCAAATGACATGGCTCATTTGAAATATAGCAGAACAGAAAAATCTTGTGTTGCCAAACACGTTTTTGACAACCATAGGATAGATATAAATAATTTAAAATTAATTAGAAATGTAACAAACAGTAGACAGTTGGATGCTTTTGAAAGTTTAGAAATCATTAAGTGTAACAATAAGGACAACGGTCCGATACCCACCAGTCCACTGTTTGCTCTGATAAACAAAGACAGTTACTCACTCCAAGACTATATCATGTTGTACATGTGTCTTAAATTTGAAGTGCATATGTTATTACCAATATAACATGTGAACTACTAATTAAGCTCAAAATTAATTCTAGGTCTCTTCATGGCACATAAGTGTTCCAAATTTGAAGTTGATATCTCAACGCGTTCTCGAATTATCGTGTACACAAAAAAGGTAAACAGACAGACAGACAGAATTTTTTTTCGCTTAAAATTAAAATCTTGACGGCTCAGAGCACTTTAGGCTTATTTAGCCAATAGCAATTTAAAAAAAAAATCATGAACACTACCTACTTCTACATCACGTAGTGGAGTGGATTTTTACGTGGAATAAAATAGTGGAATCGCTATTTTCAAAGTGAAACTTGATACATACATAGGTCCAAAATGGAAATCGGTTTTTCTTAATATATTTCGAAATCTTTAAAAAAGAAGTACTTTTTCTGATCTTTTAATTTTTAATCTCAGGTACGGAAATGGCTGGGATCTTCTCTTTCAGATGTTTTTTGTTGTTTTTTTTTTATCACTAACCTTTTTTTTTTTAAATTAAGTTTCTCATATGGTGCGTACTTTTTGGTGAACGCTATATGCAACGTAAGCCCAAATTTGCTTAACAAAGGAGATACTTTTTTATTTCGTCTTGTAGGAAACAAAGTTATTCTTGATAAAAAGTTTTGCTTGTCCTATAATGAAGAATGCCGTTTTGAAAAGTGTGATATGTTATAGGTATAGGGAATGCAAAAATTTGTTAAATCCGGTGATTGTTATTGCTGTTGAAGTTTCTATAATTCTGTTTCTCTAAACTGCAGCATTATTAGGTCGACTTTTATAAATTAACTCCTCCAATCTGCCCACAAAAAATGTAGTCCAACATTACAAAAATATGAAGGTCTGTATTTTTCCAATTTTACATTTTAAATCCAATAAACAGTAGACACTGTCGAGTTCCCGTTATCAACGACTCAATATCTATATCTGTATCTCAGAGCTAAACTATGTTAAGTCACAAAATTCCTATTTAGAGAAAAACGTGTTTAAATTTTTTTTTAGCCATTTTTTTATATTGCAGGAATAATGTGTGTTGTACACTCATAGTATTTAAAATTAAAGTTTTTCATTAAAGTTCCCGATATAATATTCGGTTATTACGCAAATAAATATTTAGTTTTTTTGTAAAGCGATTTAACATAGTTTACCTTGCACAAAAAAAACTGAAAATTTAGACATGATATATATTAAGTCCAGTTATGAAGTGCTGTCAAAAAAGGTAAATAAAATTAAGTCATATTATGTTTATAGTTATTTATTATTTATAACAATAATAAACAAAATAAACAGAAATATTCTGGTTAAAAATCATTTTCGGTTTCTTCATCACCGGTGGGGCAGATTATTATAGAAGTTATGAAATACTGAGGGAATATAAGGCAACAGTTTTTGAAACTTTTTTGTTGAAATTCTTTTTAAACCTTCTCTAATTTTAGGCAATTCTTCAGGCAGACAAATATTGTGTTTTCTTGAATTTCTCGCTACAGCAACAGTCTGGAAGTCATCGTTGAAATTTGTTTTGAACAACAATTGATTTTTTTTCGCGTAACAAAACTTGTGAGACTTTTTTCCTTTCCCGCTCAATAACTGAGTGATCGCCATCCGCTTACAAGTGAGTATGCCCTTTGGTCAAAAATTTATTACTATGGACTTCAGATTTGGTTTCTTTTCCAACATAATAGAGTTGGATCCAACATAAAAGAGCTCTTGTGCTCATTTTTACAGCTTTTGTTCAAGAACGTTTTATTTTAAATTAACGAACGAATTTAACGTTTTTATCGAACCTACAACATGAACTTAAACTATAACTTGCAAGCAACCTATACAAAACATTGAAATAACGGATTGTCCTGGAAGAAAACGCAGTTTAGTAGGACTCCATTGAGGAAAGTTAGGTTAGGTATTCGGACTTAACATATTAAATAAATTAAAAATTATGTTTTTGTTATAGGCTTAACATAATTAACTGAAATATTGCATATTTGGACTTAACACAGTTTGGCTCTGAGGTACAGATATATAGTGTTTCATTACAAAATTTATTAGAATCTTAGAAACTTTTTTGCGCTTCCTATATAACCTAGGTATCATATTTTTTAAAAAGACAATCTTAGTTTCAAGGAAAAACAAGTTTTATATTTGTTACACAAATCTGGGTACAAACAATAAAATAAATAATGTAAAATGCATAAATAAACATATGAATATATTTATACATAGGTGTGTAAAACATGACATTAACATAAATAATATAAAGAGAAACAAAACGAACCCCTATATATTTTGTACTCATTTATAAAATCAATGCAATATAAAAATTTTGTTTATTGTATATACTTATTTAAAAAAAGTTTCGGTCGATTTTAGAAATAAGGTCGTACAAGAGATATATATATTCGTGTTGTTTACCTTTATATTATTTATGCTTATATTACATGTTTTACACACCTATATACATATAGAGCTGTTTATAAACTGCTCGTCAAAATTAGCATCAGCATAACATTTTTTAGGTTAGCATCATTTGCCTTCTATTGGGGCTAGACACTTGCCAAATTTTTGTAAACTATAGGGTTAGTTTTAATGCCACGAAGTGAATTAAAGGATTCGCCGCGTACACTCCAAAGTCAACCCCATATTGAAATTAATGAATCCACAAAATTCTGATGGCAATACAGCGACCTACAGGATGGACTAAGAAGGACGCTACCGGGTGAAAACATTATCCTGGCACACATTAAGACCTCCTCAACAAGTCCTGAGCATTTAAGTTGTAAACAAGCCTTTCCGGTGGGATAACTGAGATAGCCTTTCTAAGGATGTTCGAATCCTTTTCGGTCTCCTTTAAATCCTCATTTGCATCCCATCGCCCTCTTCTTTTGACCCCCTCCAAAAATTTTTTGAATAGGTGAAAGTTGAAAGAGGGCTCGATAGGTAGGTGCAATCTTTTTCACTTATGCAAATCAACTATCGCGAAACTCGTGAGATATGCTTAGTGCGCGCGACAAGTGTTCTTTGCAATTTCGGAGTATTAACTCTCGACTGGACCAGCGTCGTTCAAAGGCTTTCCCTCACAAAATTAGATAAAACAGGTGCTGTTTGTGTGGCCTACCATGCAGGCGCTGGCCCAGTTAAGAGTTCACGCGCCCAAGTCACATAGAGACCTGCTTACAACTTCTCTACGCGGCAAATTTGCAAGGGGTGGGTTGAGGGTGAATTTTCACTTTTGGCGCTCAATCGGCCGTCCTCAGTGAGTCCAGTTTACTTCGAGAACCTTTAAGTAATGCCATGACATGAATCCGAGACCAAACAACACCTCACGCTCCAACAGGAACTGAATCAGAGGAGGTGGGTGGGGAGTTGGTTATATAACAGCTTAGGGATTGCACCATTTTGTTTAACGAGTGCAATTTATATTTATGTAATTTAACGAGTAAAATTACACGAGTTAAACAAAATGATATTCCCTAATGTGTTTCAAAAAAAGTTTTTTTTTCTAATATAAATAATAATCGCCCCACATAAATTGACATTCTCCCTCTAAGAGCCATTACGACGAACCAAACCCTGTGACAGGTGCCAATTGCCACAGGCGGGATTCGAACCCGCGCAGGTAATAGCTCTCGGAGTAATCGCCTGGCGCTTCTTCTCACCTGGCGCTTTACCCACTGAGCTATCGCCGCGGCAATAATTGCAAGGATATGTATTCATCTAATCATTTTTATGAATCTTATAAAAATTATAGACAGTTCTCTTATCTAGATTGTCAACTATTTGTGAGTTTGAAGTTTTTTATGTACAAAAACGTCAGTAGTTATGAAATGTGTTTATTTCATATAATCCAGTCTGTGAGCTGGGGAATTAGGCCAACTAAATAAGTTTGATGTAGTTACTCGAATTCAAAAAATTTTTTTTGCATCATGTTCTATGAACCTCTAAGGTCATTCGTGACTATCAACCAACTTGGCAAACCCCCTCAGACCACCCCTATACTATAAAACACACTCCATTCTCACCCTCATTTTTAGAGTGGTAATTTTTGAAAAAAATGACAATTAAGCATCGAAAGTGGATTTTGGGAAGTGGACAGCGGGCTTTTTGGGTCGCTGATCATGAATCCGATGTCATTTTCCCGGAAAATTCATGCCACGGCCTGGAAAACTGGGTCACTTTTGTGGAAATTTAATAATTGTTCACGCGATTTGCGTTTTTTTACGTCATAAAGATATCCAGCAGCGTATAATGATAACGAATAACGAAAAATCATGTAAATTTTCTGGAAAACTATGAAAATTTTTAGGAAAACCTGGAAAGACAATTTTTCAATTTTATGAAAATGATCGTGTGATAAGTCGCTATTGGGGTTTCTTGGGGCGCTGATCATGAATCCGATGTCACTTTCCCGGAAAAGTCATGCCACTGTCGGGAAAACTGGAAAACTGGGTCACGCGATTTGCGTGGCATGAATTTTCCGGGAAAGTGTCATCGGATTCATGAAATCGCCCCAAGAAACCCCTATAGCGTCTTATCAAATTATCATTTTCATAAAATTTAAAAACTGTCTCCAGGTTTTCCGGAAAATTTTCATAGTTTTCCAGAAAATTTACAAGATATTTTGTTATTCGTTATCATTATGCGCTGATGGATATCTTTATGACGTAAAAAACGCAAATCGCGTGAACAATGATTAAATTTCCGCAAAAGTGACCCAATCGTCCAGTTTTCCCGGCAGTGGCACGAATTTTCCGGGAAAGTGACATCGGATTCATGATCAGCGCCCCAAGAAACCCCAATAGCGACTTATCACACGATCATTTTCATACAATTGAAAAATTGTCTTTCCAGGTTTTCCGGAAAATTTTCATAGTTTTCCAGAAAATTTACATGATTTTTCGTTATTCGTTATCATTATACGCTGCTGGATATCTTTATGACGTAAAAAACGCAAATCGCTTGAACAATGATGATTTCCAAATTTTCCAGTTTTCCCGGCAGTGGCATGATTTTTCGTTATTCGTTATTCGTTATCTTTTGGTTGATAGTTGGTTGATAGTCACGAATGACCTTAGAGGTTCATAGAACATGATGCAAAACATTTTTTTTTTAATTCGAGTAACTGCACCAAACTTAGTTAGTCTCCCAGCTCATTAGTCTCACAGACTGGACTAATAACCAGCTAGGAAAAGTTTTTAATTTCCTAGTTATGGAATATAACACGTCAATATCAATTATGAAATGTGTCACTGTCAAAATTAGAAATTGATATTTTATTTCATTTACCGCTGAACCGATTTGAAAAAATAAAGCGTTAAATAGAGGTTTGAAATAATACCTCTCATACGAGATCTCACAAAACCCCCTTCCCCTTCAAATAAAAAAAAATGCGATAGCAGCGCTCTCTGAGTAGCGGATCAAGTGTTGCATGTAACGTTTATGTCAGAAAGTATTTTAGTAAAAGTAAAACGATTTTAACTGGTTTTTGCATGATGTCGATATCTTTCGCCGCTCAAAATCTAGATGGGGTACTTTTAACGACATCCGTGTATAATACAATTCATCAAAAAAAAAAAACCTAAAAACAGGTTCAATGATCATATTTAACTAGATCAACAATGTAAAAAATATTGAATCTCAATTTTGTTGGTTATATATAGCTTGAAATAAAATAATTATGTGAAAAACTAAATGATTCAGTAATACCTACTGATTATTTTTCCAAAGCATCCTGTCCTCGATGTTTCTTTAAAAAAATACTTAAACCTACGTATATTTAGAAAGTTACTTAAATCTACATAACTAAGGCACCCAAGTAGTCGCAAATAATATTTCTTACAATTTTATACACTATTCGTCTTTCATTGTGTTAATTCTACCAGCCTTCTGTAAGAAAAATCTGTTACGAACAAGATGTTTCCTGACAATTAAAATAAGATTGGGCGCGAACCAGACAACCGTTCCACCCCCTATGAGCACCCTCAATTGGTCATTCCCTTTCTTAAAGGCGGACTCCTTGAAATTTGTGAGCTTTCGTCAAATTGCGTATATTCAAAACATACTGCCCATAATTCACTTAAACGGCCGAGCGCTGATACAAATGGCCCTCCAAGAAAATTTGGTAAGCAGCAACGCCGTGAAACGACAATTGGGTTGAATAGGAGTGAGTGGGAAACGACGAATGATCACTTTGATATGTCATCTCTTAATACATTAAAAATAAAAAATAATGAACATTATGGAAGTTTATACTTAACCATTATTTACAATTTTAATTAATAAACATTCGTTACAAACTATGTTTTAAATAAATAAGACGCCTTCAAACGTTTGACAGCAACAATGTTTATTTATTAATCAAATATATTTATAGATCTGTATCGTAAATATTATAAGCTTTATAGTCTTTTTTATAAACAATTTGTGAAATATAGCACCAAATATTTTGGAAATAGAAGATTCCTTTCCAAATTTTCAAAATGACTTCCAAAACAATGTTGTGAAATTATGAAATAAAATATTTTTTGAGATTTCGAAATAAACTTTCTCGGATCTTTAAGCAAAATTGTGAAAATAATTATTCGAAATGTTTAAAAAAATTCTTAATTTCAGCGTCATTTAGTAATTAATTCCCCTTTTATGTTTTTACGTTTTGTTTTTTCTTAATGTGTAAACAAACCTGTGGGTAAAACTAGGGTCTCCTATTTTACCAAAACAAATCATTGTACAGATATACGAATATGACGATAGATTTCACAAAATGTTACTTAAAATCAAAATTGAGAATAACAGATATTTATACAGATATGAAGTAAAAAACATAACGTGTTGAGTGCCGACTCTATTACAATCTAACAAATAAATAATGAAATGAGTCGACACAAATCACATCAATCGACGAATTTATTGGGAATTACGTGTGTATCACGCGCGAACAGTTTTTGTCTTTCCGTAATAGTTGGTATGTTCAGTGGTGGAGTATCTAATAAATTGGTGGGTAATAAACTGCGACAGCCTACCGCATATAACGAGGACGACTCACCAGATTTTGTTATTTGTTTCAACTATAGTGTATATTAACATCATCAGTAGTGGTGGGTGCAAGCGATGCGGTATACGGTAATATGTATTAATTGAGTCGAAAGTGTAAAATATGAAGGGAACCTTAGGGAACCAGTATTCATAGTAGTGATTAAATTATACTTGGTGGAACACATTTCGGACGGTCGATTGAGCGCCAAAAGTGATGTTCCAACTCCAACCCACCCTCTGAAAATTTGCCGCCCTAAGGGGTTGTAAGCAGATCTTGATGCGTGAGGTGACTCAGAAAGCTTTTCTGAGGATACATGAACTCTTTTTGGCACATCCCGGGTCATCCGTCTCCTTCAAATCATCTTTTGTGTCTCATCAGTCAGCGCATAACCCTCTTTCTTTGACCACCTCCAAAACATTTTTGAGTGGATAAAAATGGAGGGTAGACGAAATCTTCTTTTGCCCTTTTCGACATTCGACAATTGCGACTCGCGATTGTCGAATCACACAAGTGCAAACGAAGCTTCCGCTTACCCAACCAGCCTTGGGTATTCAGGAATTTTCATCCACTCAAAAATTTTTGGAGGTAGTCAAAAAAAAGGACAATGGGACGCAAAAGAGTATTTGAAGGAGACAAACGATTCGAGGTGGGACAAAGGATTCAAGCATTCTCAGGAAGGTTTTCAGAATCACCCCACACATCAAGACCTGCTTTCAACCCCTCAGCGCGGAAAATTTTCAGGGGGGGTGGGTTGGAGATTGAATATCATATTTGGAGTTCAAGCGGCCCCATCACAGTGGGTTCACAGTGAGTCCCATCAACTTGGAACAACAAAAAAACCAGAGGAGGTGGGTGGGGGTGTCAGAGTAGGTGTTGCTTTGAGGGGCGCTTGAGTTGTTAAAGGGTGACAGCGAGTTGTGGCACCCCACACCACATTATTAGGCAAAATTAAGATCAATGGATTCGCCCAACACAAGTCAAACCACCCAAAATCCTGCGTACATGCAAACGGGAGGCTTAGGGGGACCTGGAAATGGGTTGAGGAAATACACAGCGATCAAATACACAGAACTTATCGAGGAGGTCTTAATGTATGCCGTGGTGGAGATTTTATCTGACAGCGTCCTTCTTAGTCTATATCTTCCATATCTCTGAAATTGCCGTAACGCCTTTGGGGTATTCAAACCAACCCTATATGTTACCGAAAATTAAAACCGCAAGTCTCTAACTCGAATAGAACGCAAATGGCGCTAATCTAAAAAGTGTTACGCTAATTTTGACGAGCAGTTTACTTTAGCTAGATCTTCGATGTAATTTTTATACGCCAAAAAAAATCTTCTAGATTTCTCCGCCACCACTGAATATATGAACGATTGTGGAAGGACACGCTATCCTTATCATTTGTTTGTCTGCTAGACTTCAGTTTCGAGGTGATTTCTTTTAGTAAGCCACTGCAGGCATCATTTGGCACCCATGCGAACTCCGTTTACTCCACTCTCCCCCGCCATGCGGGAGCGCGATCCACGACGAGCGCTAAGAATTCGCCAACGGAGGGTCTCCTTCGGGAAGGAATGAACACGTCACGGCGCGACACAATGAGCGCCTTTAAACGTATTCTAATGCCCTTTCTTACGGCAGAAATCGGTTCCTATTCTCGCA